ATTATTTACGCCGATCACATAATAAAAATAATTCTTAATAGAACGAGAATACCTCTAAGTGCTCGATGAATACATTGACGATACCTAATTGTTATTGAGTTCACACCTTGTTGATATATTTACTAAAATAGTGTATTTTTGACTCTACACAGGAGTATTTTGCATATTACAGCTAATATTACAAGTTCTGAAGGTATTTTGCATCACGGCGCATGCGTTAATGAAATTTCTGAAGTGCGAACCACACTATCAATATAAGTCGATAATTCTTACCACTTTTCCTGAAATAATATTAATAATCGATAACTTAACGTACGATGTCTGTCTCGGAAGTGGTTGAATTCCAAAATTTGACCAGTCCAAATCAAAATTTGACCCTACCCGAATGACTCGTGTATGCTAACGCTAACGGTCACGAATAAAAGTGGCAACGTTGCTCTTCGCTTGTTTAGGTTGCGGTGTTGCAGATACTCGATGAACGGGTATCACAGTGTATCCTCGTTTCTGGCATTTATCACAAATATAACGTATTTTTGTAAGTCAAAGAACATGTGCGTCATTGATTGAAGACATTCTACATTATAACTGTACGTAAGTTCAGCAATTGTGTATATACTTACATGTCACGCTTTAGCAGTGAGGTCACTTTGTTTTACTGCTCTGAGTTACAGTAGGGTTCAAATAATTAAACAAGTTCGTTCTGAAACATTTGGCAAAGGTAATACCGAAATATTTTGCGTCAATCATTCGATAAATAAGGTTAATAATTTAAGATTTTCATTGTTTTGATCTAAAGATAACACTAGTCTGATGTTAGATATATAAAACGTGAATTAATGACGAAACAGCGAAAATAAGAAATCTGGTTACTGAGCGTAATTGACATGTCTGAAATTTTGGGCCCGAAGTCCCAAATGTATCGACCAAGGCCGTTACATAGATCATACTATATGTATACGAAAAGCTGCCATTTTATATAGCATACGTGCGCCATTTTGTTATCTCACAATACAAAATGAAAGCTAACTTAAAACATCACATTTACATTTATTTCATTCGACTTCCGACATAAAATAAAAATAAATATTATTTAGAAATATAAGCAAAATTTAAATATTTATAAAGTAATTACCGGGCCTTATATAAAATTAAATTCGAATAATGCCCAATTAGTACAGCCAAGTTATAACAAAGCAAATATTTTGATCACTGCTCTTAGCAGTTAATGCTATTATTCATAATAAAGGGAAAAGTAAACATTTTGGATTTGTCGCAAAATCTACCATATGTTTGTCAGGTTAAATGAAAAAATAGTAGTTGTGAAAGATATAAATGATTTTTATTAACGAATTTATCTTAAACTGTTTCTAGAAATTACTACTTTTGCAATTGAAATGAAAATATATAATAGATAGTTTTTGAGCTTCGCAAGCAGTACATTCCGCATAAGCATAATTCACCGCGCATGTGTAAAACACTAACGGTGGAACGTTTGGATACGTAACACATACATACTATGGTCTTTGCTATAAATACATATACACATTCATACATACGTATGTTAATTGCATTATTGTTGCTCAGTTAGGTGTATAATCAAGTATTACATATTTCGAACAATATAATATAATAAAGAAAGTCTAGTTAAATGCTTTTTGTGTTGTATTTTGGTAATAACAGCCAAATTAGGATTCTCATTTGGAAATAATGACTTGGACTTATGATTCTTAAATTTTATAACTGTATTAATTTGAACTACATAGCAAAATAATATTTTTTCGTAATTATAAATAAAACATACGTGGTATGATATACGATAAATTGATTGGTAGAATGAATTTTTTATATTATAAATTTTAAGTAATGAGTAGCATCGTAAGTTTTATGAGTCTCCCACTCAGTAAAGAAACGCGTTATATTACGATTGTGACGCATGTTGACCTTGCTAGTTGGCGCAGAAAGAAAAGGGGTGGGGTTACTTATCAAACGTTCAATATAAATACTTGCAACTTAGAAAATAATCTTTGAAAACATTTACTTCTACTTTTCGTGTACAATTTGTTTAGAAAACAATTATTAACATTTAAATATTACATTGAGTAATAGATAAAAATTTTCGAAATTCTTGCACAATAAAGGAAAAATACACTCTTACAAAAAGGTATTTGATAATGCAAACGGAACTTGTATTAACTTTTGCATCCCATTCTTTGTTGTAACTAAGAAAAACAAATGGACAGTAGAACTGTTAATAGTGAGAAAAAAGTATTCATATTTTTACTGTACTGCAAATAATATTAGCAGTGTGAAGTATTAAGTAGTGGAAGGAAAGAACAGAAGTGGGGGAAACAGTAAGTGTGACCTTTTTGTGATTTCAAGTATCGAATCAGTATAGAAGTAAAAGATAAGATTATTATTCAAAGCTTTATTGCTGACGCGAGCGTTTCTAACATGAGGACATTATATATCCGAATTTATTTACTTTAATTTATTGGAAATTAGTTTAGCTGGGGCAAATCATGACGCCATATTGGACAACGTCGTGTGCAATCGTTGATTTTCGTGAGGACGCATGTCGGGGCCTACGTTCGGCTGTACTCGTTCAATAGACTAGTCTACCGAGAATCCCGCCTTTCTGAACATAAGTTTTCATAGTAGAAATTGTATTCATTTTACTGTCATTTAATGTGGTTGTTCATTGAAACTATTTGTGTTGTGCATATACATATTGGATTTCACATTCATTTGTTTTTTTATCAAAAATTTTGACTTTTTATATGTTGGTAATACGACATACGAATTGTACATTTACTGTATTATATATATCTTTTCAGTATACTATAAATGAAAAACCGACGTTAATTCTTATCTATTAAATAATAATATCGACATCCATTGATTCGGACAATGGAGTACACGTGTTACTTGATACAGTAACTGTCGTTAGATATACAACTTCAGTCCGCCATTTTTGTTAGTTGAGTACTTATGGGCCAGGGACGACTCATGTTGGCGCGTCATCGAGGGGCCCAAATTGTATTATCTTCATCTACGTTAAAAGAAAAGTTGACTCTGTAACATAGATCGTAACGAAAATTGTATCTAACACAACGTAACAATTTTGTACGTGAGTGGTATAGTTAACAAAGTTATGACACCGAGTGGGCTACATCGATTTGGAGGATCTGTAGGTTTACAATTTTTAGCGCCTTTGTTTCCACAGTGAATGTTTACTTCTTAAACGAGAGAGTGTGCCTTTCTTTCGCGCGATCATTTATTCGAAAATACTCAAAACTTATTATAATTTATCAAAACATAGAATTGTAATAAATTTTTATAACATCAATTAGTTTAAAAATATTAATTTTATTTTTAATTTTTTGTATCAAACAATGTTGTACAAAATATGATTTGTAATCTCACAACTATGTATAATTAATTAATCAATTAAAAAATTAAACAAAGACATTTTGTGTTGCCATATTTACTAAATCTGAAATTAGTATACTTGACTATTTAAATACACAGTATTTTCAAATAAAAGTATCTCATACATAGTGATCACTTACAGATTAAAAGATATTAATTTTTGGAGATAAATGGGTGACCTGTGACACTGTCTTGCATATCTTACCTTTTTTTACAATGGAGGCTTTAAGAAGCAAGTCTGTACATAGTACTGACTCTATACGTTCATTGTCTTGTATCAATGCGCATCATATTGATGAATTATCAAAAGAAAAAGAAGATGAATTATTATATGGAGGCGATGATGGCGATGAAGAGGATGCACTTTCAGATGATAGTATGCGTTTAAGATTATCTGATGATGATGAGGCTGAGCCAGATGATATTTTGACATCTGTCTTAGACGATAAAGAACATAAGCCAAAAAATATAAAAATAGGTAAGCTACCTACTTTGAATATTCATATAAAACACATTATCATTATTATATAACATTGTATCTCCAAGGTCATTCACTGTCTCATCACATATAATTTGTAAAATAAAAAGTACATTTTTATTTTTGAAAACTTGGATTGCAGACGTGACATGTGGAGGGAATGAAGATGTGCAAGATTCACCTGTTCCTGAAAAAAATGAAATGAAGAGTGACACAACTCCTTCGAGGGAAAGAAAGGAAGAGGAACATTGTTCAGGTAATGTTTCCATGGGTGACAAAGTATTAACACATCATGCAAAGGATACCAAAAGAAATCTAAATGGATTGATGAGGCCACAAATGATTAATGTCATGCCTCGCTATCCATGGCCAAATTATGAGTTTCAAGGGAGGTTTGCAAGTACCCCTTACAGTCGGTTTCCCTATGTCAATCGTTTCCCTTATGTCAGGCATCGGTATTTGGCACCTAGAGGACAATTTAGAAATCCATACAATTACAATACTAGATTTCACAATGCATTCGTTCCTTTTGAAAAAGGAAGAGGCAATGGAATGTTTAATTCATACACCAACTTTATATATCATAGAGAACAAACAAGAACTTTCAAACCTTCTCCTACGAAGAGATTTAATGCTCAAAGTGATGTTGACCAAAATGTTATGTCCCCTCCAGATGCAAACTTATCTTCAAGAACTGTAGCTGACACCAGCATCAAGGATGAAAACTGTGCTAATAAGAATGAAATTGAAAAATATAATGACTTAGTTAGTAAAACTCCAATCAGTAGTGAACAGAATAACGATGATTTATTGACCTACGATTTTTCGAAAGATATTAGCCTCGAAGATTTAGAAAAAGATGTTACTGATATCAATCGTGTTAATGACCCTTTGGGATTGGAGAATGAAACGAAATCTGTGCAAGAGAATTCGGCAATGCCGTCTAATAATAAGGAATGTAAAAATAATACGTTTATTGATATCAATACTACAAATGAGTCCTCTAATGGCGTAATTACATGTCCTTCACAAAAATCCCAGCATGAAAATAAAGAAGGTGTTAAAGAGGAAGAGAATATTGATACAGGTAATGCTCAGTTTGATTGTAATGGTTCACAGGATTCTAGTAATTTTAATACGCTGGCAACATTATTAACCGAAAATCGCAAAAATTTGTCCAATAACGAAGACGTAGAGTTCATTGAATTGAATGACGAAAATAATAAAAAAGATAATGCCATTGTCAATAAAAAAGTCAGTTTAGGTTCGAGTGAAAAAAAGGTAGTTGGGGATTGTGGACTCACTTCGACTCAACATTGTATAGAAATTACTGAGATGATAGAGGTAATCGAGCATGATGCACACAAGGGAAGTACAGTAAATAATGCATTAGCAGTAACTAAAAAAGTGGAAAGTCATAAAAAGGAAATCTTAACCGATAAGGACGATGTATTTGTGCAAGATGCACAATCAAATACAATTGTTGAAACTCATACCCCCAAGACAAATGATATTATATTAAATGATCAAAAGAATAGAGAAGGTAGTAAGGAAACCGAAGTAAAACAAAATAATACGATATTTGAGCCATTTATTAATGGTGAAAAATGTGATAAAGCCCGATTAAATGATAGTGATAATAGTACAAATACTTCTAAATTACTCCAATTACTTGTTTCTGATGATCATCCAATTAGTACTAAGCTTCAGGAACGAAATAATACTGTCACCAAGGAAAATGTAAAATCTGTAAAAAACGAAAGCCCTATAGTAAATTCTTCAGTACATACTGAAAAGATGGTATCCATATTGGATGAAAATAATGTACCTAGCGTTGAATCGCAAAACGATTTGTTAGGTCTTACTAATAAAGTAATGGATAATGATGTTAATGAGAAAAAAGTTGAAGTTCCAGTCAATCCAGTAAATCCTCAAAGAAGGAGAAGACGAACAAAAAAAATGATCGCGGCAGCACAAGAAGCTGTTTCGGAAGAAGATAAGCAAGGTATGACATGCTTTACGTTGTTGGAATAACCATCTGTGGAATTCAGATTTCTTATACATATACTGCTTACTCTCTCTTACGTTTTCCTTTCTTTCTATATTTTATAATTATATCTTATGTAATTATACATAGCATATATCTTTAGTAATGATAATTAAGTGTTCTTTACTATTAATAACGTTTGAATATATTTTTAAACAACTATATTTAACAAAATCTTTCATACACATTTTTTTTGTTCTCACTCCTTCATCTTGGTACATTATATTTACGAGTTCAAACCAACAATTAAATTGCATGTCTGATAATGGTCAAAAAGTGTAATTCACTTTTTTGTATAATACATTATATTCTTCATCTATGCAGGCTTATATTAATTTATTTAATACTCTTATTAATTATGCATTTCTTATTATGGCATCTTGTTACAGTTAGGGAGAGTGGAAGGCAAAAGAGAAAAACTGCCAAGAATGCAGAAGAAATCATACGAAAGAAATTTTTAAATCACGACAGTGATTTGGAGTCTAGCGATAGTTCAGAAAAATTTGTAATTGTTAATCATAAGGTAAATGAAGATGTACGATCTCTATCTCCACCGTCTTTAAAACGTAACTGTTCCGATCTGGATAATATAACGATGAACGGTAGTATCAAGAAAATCAAAGTAAATACAGACTCATTATCTGACGAATTATCTTCGAAAGAGAATGATTCCGATAGCATTAAACAACTCGATTATGTTAACAAATTTTTCCAAAGAGATCTGAAGGAGAAATTGCCGAAATTGAAACAAGAAGTACGTTAAAAATAGTTGAATCTCAGAGATACTAATATTATTCTAATACATTCTAATATTAATCAATTCTTTAAGGAATTAGAAGATCTTCTAATACAGAAAATAGTTGAAACAATCACAATGCGTGGAGAAATTGGTAAATTAAGGGAACAGGCACGTATATCGGAAAGAAATCAGGAGGTAACACGTGCAAAGTGTCAACAATTGACCAAACAGATCAAGGATTTTGAAATGGTCCTAAGTCGTAACGCTGCGGATCGACGTGCTAATAATGATAAACCTGTTCCGCCGATTAAAATTAATAGATCCGTCGGGTTACAAGTTAATTTTATAACGGTACATATACATATATAAAAATTAATTTTACACGATGTGTTATTATTCCTAGATGTTATTACTATTATTTCTGTATAGGACCACGGAATGCAATGTTTGCGGCAAATGCAACCGAACGCTAATATAAAATCGGCAAACATTTCGAGTAACAGTAATACCACATTAAATACCCCTAGTACTGATACTAATAATTCAGCCAGTCCAAGGAGAGGAATCAAGATAAGACCACCTAGGCGAATTGAAACAGTAGCAGCTCAAAATGTCGTAGTCTCCCAAAGCCACACTCAATCTCCAAACATTGTGCCTACTATAACACCTGCAGCATTAGTTGTAGCCAAACCTGTGGAGGCACAGCATCCTTTACAATTACCTAATCAGTCTAACGTTCAACAAATTATGTCCAATGTAAGCATCTACAATCTTTTGTTGTATCTGTTCATTTCATTTCACTTATTTTATCATATGCGTGTATATATGTGTGTGTGTACTTAATGCAGTCACCATTACCACCACAACAACCACAACAAACTATAGTTCTAAATGGGAAATTCACGAACCAACTGAGTCGTCAGAATACCACAGTGAATATTGCAAAACCGAGAGCAAATGATTTGATAGACCTTACGGACGAAGAAGAAAAAAGTAAAGGTATAAGAAATATTACTAAATTAACCATATTATACGTAGTAAAATGAGTTAAACTATTATATATATATATATATAATACTGTTTTATAGTGTACGTGATAATTTTAGGAAAAACTTTATAATTTACAGGTACTACCAGTGTACCGATAGTTACAACTACGATAACAGATCAACAAATCAATTTAGCACAAAAAGCACAACCCTGTTTCCAAAGGGTAATTCAAACTATACCTGGAAATGTAGCTATAACGAATCAACCTCCTAGTATAAGAGTAGTACAACCTGCTAGCCAACCGACACCCACTGCCTTAGTAGTAAGTAAAAAAATAATATATGGTTAATGGTAATTGTGAACATGTAAATACGATGAACATTTGCATATATTTATTTTTTTATAGAATAATATGAGTGCCCCTCGATTAGCATATGTAATGCAAAGTGGTGTGGGCCCAACAAGGCTGTTACAAATAGCACCGAATTCCGCAACGGTAAAATGAATTAAATATTTTTTTCTGTAAACAAATTAAAAATTTTCATCGTGTAAAATAGTTTTGTAATCGCATAACAAGATTTTGTATCTCTAGATACGGCCCGTAACTTCGTGTAATAGAACTTCGTTTCCAACTTTAACATACAAAACTGGTATGTAAATGATATTATATAACAATATAAATAATGATTTTAATTGTACCTTACTTATAGGAATATCAACTGTAGCAAATGGAACAGTCAGAGTACTGACTACTTCAGCTCCATCAAATATACAATTGAACAAGGTATTGTACTTTTTAGTGCAAGAAAAGATTTTATTTTATTTATAAGAATAAATTTATTACGTCCATTCCGACATGTTGCAGCATCCTGCTCCGTTACCAGACACACGAAATCATGCTATAAATCCTTTATGGAAACTTCCTCCACCAGCTCCGTCATTAAAAATTTCTAAGGTTGCTAATGGTACGTAACAATAATTAAGTATCGATAAAAGAAGACTGAGAAACATAAAATTCATTTTGATCACGTAGGTATCGTACTGTCTTGGAATATGAATTTATCTGACAAGTATGCAGATATTGTTAGTTATCAATTATATGCGTACCAAGAAGTTGCCGGTATTCCTCCTAGTACATCGTCATGGAAAAAAGTCGGAGATGTTCGTGCTTTACCATTGCCCATGGCGTGCACACTTACGCAAGTAATTCAAAAATTTGTTACTTTACAGTTACTATAATTACAATATTGGCAATTTTCATATCTAACATTTATCTTCACAGTTTTCCGAAGGCAATAATTATTACTTCGCAGTTCGAGCAGTTGACACACATTCCCGAAAAGGACAATATAGTACACCTGGCAATATTTCTTTATAAAATATATGATCAACATTAAGTTATTTTTTTCCATCTTACTTTTAACGCACAGTTATAATATAACAAATCATGACTCATATAACAACAAATTCTATACAGTCTTAAATTATAGTTTAATTCGATCATGTATCATTTAATTCGATCTAGTACATGTAAGATACATTTAATGAAAAATTTGAGACGTATTTGTAATTTAGAAGTGTGCTGTATAGAATACGCATACAAATGAATTTGTTGTTTAATAGTAAGTATTTGTTTAATTATAAGTGATTACTGTTTTACAATTACTAGTAATTACGATTGCGAATGTAGCTAAACATATTTTTCTTGCTCCTTTTTATACACCTTTAATTTATAAATTCAAAAAAATATAAAAATATTACTTGTGACAATGTATATAGTTCATCATTCTGTTTTTTGCTTATAAAATTGCAATATACGAATTTTTATAAAATTTTCGTGCCATGATTCATGAAGTATTATTCACGTGTTATTCAGTAGTATACAATAATTAAGTATAAAAATGAATGTTTAAAATTTCGTGTATTCAAAAATGATATATCCATATAAAAAAAATAACGAATGACAGTAAAGTGCTGGCAAAATCTATGTCTGTACAAAAGTACATAAAATATTCTAGTCAACAAGAATTTCTTTAGCAATTATTTTGACATTCTCACAACTTGTAAAGACTGCTACAATTAAAGACAAGTACGGAATTGCTGAAAAGTCTGATACTGATATTATTCACTAAAGTGTTCATAAAGTTGCTTCCTTACTTTACATACGAATAATGCCTATTTTCACTTTTTCACTAACTTTAATTTACTCCCATTGTTACTTTTTAGACGAGTCTCGCTGATACATAATTTGCTCAATTTTTGATACATTTGTAATAAATTTTAAGTGTTGAATGATAATATACACTATGCAGATTTCGACTATATGAAAGGAAAGCAGGCAATGAATTAGTGTGATTGTACATATTAAAATTATATATTCTGATCTTTAACATCTCTGTAACCAGAATATATACGATCTGTAGTGTAATTGTCTAATACATTTAAGTTACACTCATAATTTTTGTGTGATAAAGATGTATAATAAAGTGATTGTTCATTTTTTAGATAAATTTTTAATGGAAAACAAATCCTAACGTAATTTTTACGTTTTAGTTTAAAAATAAGTTTTTATTTGAATAATGCAGTTTTACGATTTATCAAGATTTTAATAAAAATAATCGGGTGTAGATTTTATTAATGTGGCATTTACTTTTACAATTCTAAAATTAAAATTCATGATTATTATCAATTAATATTTAACAATAAATAAAAGAACGACACAAATATTTGGTACCCATTTAAGCAGATTGAAATTAAATTTCCCGCTCTTTTATGCATATTGTAACTGCAGTAACAGGAATGTCGAATTCTGTGAATGTGAATTGTGCATACGTAATATGCATGTGAAGTTTTCATTTTGATTTCGTTATTAATTTAAAGATTGTAATGTGTATAGCAAGCACGAAACATGAATCGGTGAGAAATTTTACACTGTCTTCAGTTTCTCTAAACGCCTAAACTAAACGAGTAATACATATATAAATCTTTGATCATTTGCACAAGCCTTCTACATACCTACAATTCAGAGACTCTTAAAGCGATAGCTGTTGTTAGCTGAGCTGAAATATCGGTTATACATATTGCTAAATTTATGGAACGCATCACAACAATATTGAATATTTAAACAGAAAACTACATATGTATTATAAACAAGTAATAAAATGTTTTTAAACCTGACACCTACTCACGTATAATTAATCGAAATTATACGAACAAGAAAATAACCAACGTATAAAAGATTTTAACAAATTCTTTACTTACTGTCGCCATTATTAATAAAACACAAGACTTAACTAGAAACGTATTAAAAATTTTTAAACGTTCGAATTTTTAATCCGTGAGAATTTATAATTTCATGTGTAATAGATTGTCACTGGTTTGGCTCTATCCTGTGTTCTCCATACGCGTTAAGTGAGTCACAAGGATACGTGTATATTATGTCAAACACAAAACAAATACGATTTCTTTAAAGATATCACCGTGCAGACGTAGAATGATAATCTTTTCTTCAGATACTCTGCGAAAAAGTGTGAAGCAAGTGGGGGCGGAAGTAGTTAGTCGGTAATTTGTGTATGTACACTGTTTGCTGCACTTTGTGACATGACATAGGACACGAATAGTCCGTGAAATTAGAAAAAAAGGCATAAAATCGAAGCGCATCCCGACGGAATGATGTTCGAATTGTCAATAGATACGCATTCTTTTGGATAATGAGTATGTGTGACATATTACGTAGCAATTTTCTTACTTTCGCGACATATCTTGGATTGACAAGCACAACATAAATATTGCTCGAGGACAAGGATATTTTTCAGTTATTTCGTTACCGATTAACAAACCGTTTTGAGGTACATATATGTTCGTAGATTGTTCGCTATTATTTCGATTCTTCGGTCGACTATTGGAAAAGCATACATTTTTCAACATTAAATAAAGAACTTCGTGTGTCAACAGATTCGTATTGAAATGCAAATATTTTGTGAACGTTGTGTCGTAACTGTTTAATAGAAATCGATATCGTTTCTAATCACCTTGAGTCTTGAAATTACACGAGGAAGAATATTGTAAGAATAATGAAAAAAAGAACAAAATTCAGCAAATATTGTGAAGCTATTCCATAATGAACAAATTCAAATGTGCAGTGGCATATAATTTTGTGGGTGTGACATATCCAGTTTTCTTGATTTGTCTATGTCACTTGTTACATGGCGTACACAGTTGCAAACTGTTTACAAAAAACCAATAAGCACAGCTTTTATCTGCAACTGTTGGTGAAATTTTGATTGATAATTAGGGGATGCCCAGCCTACATTCGCTCGTCGTTCGACGAGCTCCACTAATGGATATGGGTACTGCTACCAGCTCTGTGACAACTGTAAACCCTTCTACCAAAATTGCTACCAATCAGAAGAAGGTTGAAAAGTCCAATAAACTAACTGGAGTCAGGTTACCTTTATTACGCAAAGAAGCAAGCGTTGTCAATCTTTCCCTGACAGAAAGGACAACATTGGGAAAGGGAGTAGATGCACCATTACTTAGACCTGAGAGTAGCGCAAGTTTGGAAGCTCGTGGTAGCAGCTGGTTGAGCTTAGGTCCAGGTGTATTGAGAAAATGCGAAACTGCAGTAGGTTTGAGCACTTCTGCTTTGGAGGGCAGACCTATAAATCGCAGTCGAGTATGTTCTCGCTGCTCCAGCTTGTTGTCGCTGGCTTCCAGTTCACGTTACAGTTTGGCTGCAGGCAATTTCGTTCCTGCAGGCTCTCAACAAGTGCTAGGACGTCTTTTTTGTAAATTATGTCTTGTTGAAACTTCTCTTTCTAAAACATTTAAAATAGAAGGCTGTGGTTGTTCCTATTGTAAAGATGTAAGTATTATTCTCCTCCTATTGGAAAATTGTTCAAAAGAATATATTGCATACATTATTATGGTTTAGTGTATGAAAGCATATGTTGAGTTTGAAATTGAAGAGGGTGCATACGAAATTAGTTGTCCTGATGCACAGTGCGAACATGGAGCAATACTTTCTGTAAAAGAAATAGCAAGTCTTGTTAGTGCTGAACTTATGGAAAAACATCATAAGTTCCGATTGAATAGAGGTAAGTGATATTAATTTTATAAGTTGTAATTTATTGGTGCATAAGTTTAGATATAACAATTTAATTATTTTTATGTGTTATATAGATGTGTCTATGGATAAAGCACGTGCCTGGTGTCCACGTGCTGGTTGTGAAACAATATGTCCGATAAATGCTCCTGGTTCAAATGGAACTGTTATTGGACCTGTTCATTGTCCTAATTGCTCTATAGACTTTTGTTCTATATGTAGAGAGTCTTGGCACAGTGGTCCTTGTTCTGATCTTTCATTAGGTATACCATTTGATGGTGACCATATCAAATGCTGTCCCATGTGTTCTGTACCTATTGAAAAGGATGAAGGATGTGCTCAAATGATGTGCAAGAGGTGTAAACATGTTTTTTGCTGGTATTGTTTAGCTTCTTTAGATGTAAGTATGATTATTTATAATACTAAGAATGATAGTGATATTAACTATTCTTTCTGTAAATGATTCAATTTTATAATTATGTGAATACAACAGGATGACTTTTTATTGCGACATTACGACAAAGGACCATGTAAAAATAAATTGGGTCATTCGCGTGCGTCGGTCATTTGGCACAGAACACAAGTCATTGGAATTTTTGCTGGATTTGGGTTACTCTTGCTTGTTGCATCGCCGTTACTTTTATTGGCTGCGCCTTGTATTGTCTGTTGTAAATGTCGTGTTTGTGGTTCTTCTAGACTTGAACAGGAGGAAGGTGATACTGCAACATAGGGACTCTAAAAGTTTTTCAATATCTCCTGTTGTTTCTCTTCAGTATGATAAACAATTAAATTATATTACTCAAAATGTGGATGTGATCGGCGACTTATATAGATATACATTGAATCGAAAAATTCTATAATATATATCTTAATGTCGAATACGGTTTTACTTTTGTGAGAGGGGTTTACATTCTTTTTTTGTACTATCTATGGATGTTACGTTTTTTTTTATCAAAGGGTACTTCGACTGTGTTGACTTTGAGTTTACAGAAATATTTTCACGTAGGTGTATATATTTATAGTGTGATTATTGTTAAGTAAGAAACTTACAAAGTTTACTGAAAGCTACTTAATACTTCATTGTTTCTCAATAGTTGTTGAGGTAGATTTTTTGAAAGGCAATGATGATCTTTTAGTTATATCAGGCATTACTAACATTTTTATATTTAAACATGTCCAATTAACTGAATCGTAAATGTTCATGAATTTTGCGTACGACATTCCAGAGAATTATATTTACACTAAACGTACTGCCACATCCAAAAATGATTTTTTTACTGAATAGTTTTTTTTATACTTGCATGATTTGCTTTCAACATACTTGTATGGAAATTATTATACTCAACCATTATTTTCATGTACTTTTAATGTTCTTTTGTTCTATGTCTAATTGCAAATACGGGAGTACAGGCATACACGAATAACTAACAATGTATATCTATATGTATGTCTATTCTGAAACTTTAAGGCAAAAACACAACTTCAACGAAAAATTATTAGCTATTGGTTGCATAGCACAACTTGTTCGTAACGTTTTCTTTGTAAGTGCTTCTTCTATTACATTGCAGAATTAATTACATGTATATTACATGTACATTATTATAGACAAGTATGAATAATAGAGTAGAATGTAAGTTCTACGGTATCTGCAAAAAAATGTAAAATCTAGAATACTTGTAAATTTCATT